GCCCGGGCAGCCTGGGCTTCCTTCCGGCATTCGACCATCATGGCCTCCATCCGGGCCTTCTCCTCATCCATCGACTTCACCAGCCGGGCGAAGTACTCCTCCCCGATCCGGCCGACCTGCTTCAAAGACATCGAAAATTACTCAGAAAAGTATAAAAACGGTAAGTAGGCGGTGGGAGAGGAAAAGGGGCTACCTCATTTAGATCAGCACGGAATGCTCGGAAGAGCTCCTCGTTTGACCTGGACATTAGAGCTAGAGAACGAGGCACTATCGGCCCCTTGCCGGCGTCGGAGGACTGGGCCCCCTGATGGGAAGGCTGGTTGACTTCCTCAGTCTTTCGCTTCTTCCGTTGAAGGGACCCCCCAGAAGTCTCCTCCTTGGCGTCCCTTTCCTCATTGGGCCGGTCTCCCACCCACGCCTGGGACGTATGCCCAGTCTCACCCATCAGATTGTCGAACTCGAGGGTGTCTACGTTGAAGTAGATCTCCCCCGAGTGAATCGGCTGGCTGGTCCCTTGGTGAGACTGGGCCGGCAGATCATCCATCAAGAGTGGTTGGTTGGATGGAGGAGTGAGTGGCTGAGCGGAGGGGGGCTCCTCAACCACGATTTGGGGGACGGCAAACTTGGATTGAAACTTCACCACTGAAACAAAAAAAAGGATCCGGTTAGAAGAATGCAGTTGAGAACAAATTAATTCAAATGAAAAATGAGAAGGGCGGTTGATTGACCTTCCTCCTTCTTCTTCTTCGCCGGGCATGAAGGACCGGCATTGGTAGTGGCCGGGGCTTTGGATCCCCTCGCCCGACGGATGGGGATGGCTTCGGGGATCACCCCGGGCAGAACAATCTCCGGTTCGGGGTCGGTCTCCCGGCCGGGGTAGACGCTCCACTTCCCAACATGGTACAGACCGCGGGTGGAGGCATCCCCGGCCCGGAGAGTGGCTTCCCAAGCAACCAGGTCATCGGCCTCCGCTGGTTTGACCTGGCGCTTCATTCTTTTCCCCCAGACGTTTTGGACAAAAGGAAAGGCACCCGGGGGGAATTTGACGCAGACATATTTGTCTTTCCACTTCTTGTTGGAGGGTGGAAGACCACAAAGGAATGCT